CAAGATCAATTTCAAATTATTTTGATGAAATTAATTTAGAATTCGAATTGGAATAATTAATTTTGAAGAAGGATAACCTTTGTGTTGTTAAGTACATTCTTCCCACACAGACTTTTATTGATTTTTCAAAGATTTTTCATCCTTTTTCTTTGAAGTTCTTTTAAAGATTTTTCTGATTTTCCACAGAAGTCTACATACTTTTATTAAGAAACCATTGAATCTTCTGAGGGTGAACGACTCAATAAAATTAATACTCCTTTTGTGCTGAAGTATTGACATGAAAATATTATTCTTATGTACATTTAAAAAAAGTTATTGAAATGTTAAGTCATTTAATTTTCTATTTTGTTTGTATTTACTGTTTATTTTATAAGCTGGCTTTTGGGCCAATAGTTAATGATTCCAAACATAAAGTGAGATTTAAGACCTTCTCCATCTTTATCATTCATTATGTCTTTCGACAAAAACACAAATTAAAACATACTTTCCGATAGAAACTTGATATTATTGGTGACAAACACTTAAAGAACCCTAGCACAATGTTATAGTCTATGTTGATGTTTTTTTTGAGAAATTCCAAATGAGCATTTAGAGAAATATCTTCAATAGTAGTTTTTGAAAATTAGGAACCTAAACAAGCATTACGGGAAGATGATAAAACATTAATTTAATATGCATGTCATTTCCAACAAATTAATTTACACACCTTACTTTTACAACATAAAGTTTGAATTGGAAAAGTTTTAACAAAATATTTATCTGTTTTATGTAGAAGCAATAAAAACTTTTTCAGCCATTTACAATTCTGCTCGTCTACAACAGAGTCTACAAATTTTTTCAATGGATATATAAACTCAACTAGCCTCACATTAAAGACATTAAAGTATATAAATGCTATTAAAGATATGGATATTGCGTATTAAAGATCTAGAACGAAAGGAAAATTTAACGATCTTGTTGGAACTGGGGAAAGAACCGTTTTGAGTGTAGCAATAAATTTACGTAAGCAATTGCTTTGTTACAACCCTTGATAGTGCCAATAGATCATCCTTTAACATATGTAACATATTTTTTTGGGCATTGTTAAATTTTAATGAAAATTTATTCTAGAACTGAATTAAAAATCGGTCATTTGATTGCTGTATATCCCCAGAAGTCATATAAATTTGACAATAAATATCCATTTGGCCCACCCAAATATGTTTCAGCCAATATTTTGTTTTTATATGCACTCGGAAAGTCCATGAAAGCTATAAATTCACCTCAACAAATTCACCAAAGTAAATTTTGTTGATATTGCTATTGATTGTTCCTGATTATTGATCGTTATAGCTTGTCATAATTTATTTAGTATTCTTATTGGGTAACATTTTGCATAGTGGTTTTCAACTTCAGGTCCTTTCGATCGTTTCAATAACGTAAGAGAAGAAAAGGCAGAATGTTTTTGTGCATGACACATTGTCGAGAAATCTTGAAAGCAGAACTAAATTTATGTGAAATCATCTAAGAACCATACATGACAAGCTCAGCATTTTCGCACAAAAAAATTTCATTTCGTGTTTGAATTTAATAAAGTTTGTGCAGGTAGGAGTTCTCAGTTTGTCTATATGACCTTGATGTAGATTTTGAGGGTCTAAAGCAGTGTTATCCAAAGTTTTTGAGCCACGGCACACTTTAGGGGTAAGGCATGTCCAAAGTCAGAAAGAGCATTCGGCTTGCGTAATTACCAAAAATTTTCTACGGCACACAGTTTGGACAACGCTGGTCTATAGAATAAGCATTTTATCGTTTTAAAACCTTACATATCCATGAATGATAGTTCATGTAGTAAAGATAAAGCATCTGAATGACTACCTAATAACATTTGACTAGATAGATTCCGTGCTTTTTCAAGTCTTTAAGGAGTCCTCGTTTATTTTTTAAGGTCTAAATCAGTAGTTTTAAAACGTAATTCGCGGTGCACTAGTGTGGTTAAAATTCGATAATTTATTGGATGTTGTTTATATTATAATCTCAAAGATATCTCATAGACCAAGACCAAACTTGAATGCCTGCCTTACTCGACTGCCATTCATAATACATGAAGAAGGATGAAAGTGAAAGAAGCATAATAAAGTTTATTATGAAGGAAATATTGTATGCTCTTTTTAGTTTCTAATCCATTACTTCCATTATTATATTCTTGTAACAGACTTCGAGAAATGTTTATGATTTTTATATTTTTGTGTGTGCTTCTCATATGACATGAATATAAAATTATGTATGCAAAAAAAAAAGATTACTCGTATTGTGAGATTACATTGATTTACTTACTTACAGTGTAAGTAAGGCAAGGAAAAGCTCTTTTGAAGGAAATGTGATTAAACGTGCTTTACTCGTTGAGTGCAATGAACGTTATTCGTTAAAGTAAAAGCATTGGGCACTCAATAATTTATTATATAAAAATATATCATTTACCCGTAATAGCATCGAATTATGCTGATCTGGAATTTATTCAGAGATTTATTTTCGAATTGGTCTCCTTCATTGAAATGATGATGATAACGGTAAAAAACGATTTCATGTGGAAATGCTAGAAAAAGGTTGTATTGAAATTTTTGGTGAGACAGCTACCGTTATCAATTTTTTGTCGAATCTATGTATGAACCAGTTTGAACATTCTTTAATATTGAGTGCAGAGTATAATATTGAAAAATTCTTAAATAAACTTTTGGGGATGCTAGAAAGAAGTTAATGAATTTATTTTGGGTAAAATGATAGGATTGGAAATAGATTAGTTTTTATCCAATATTAATATATAGAAAATCTTGATCCTTTGGGATGCTTTAAAGTAATGAAATTGGAATGATGTGTAGGTGGTATAAGATTCATTCACCATTCATTCATTTTATAGACTTTAAAATTGATATATTTTTCGAGATGTTCAAGCCACATTCAATCCCATTTGGATAAATTCTGACTATTCCACTGATTCAATTGGCGCCATTGCGCTAATGAACAATCTTAAAAATTTAAAAAAATATCCAGCATATTTCGAATTTTACTAAAAATCCTTAAGTTATTCGTAAAATTTACTGGGAATTTTTTGTGGCATTTAAAATTTTATATCAGAAAGGGCTGCATTATTCTCCCAATTTTGGTATTAATTTCGAGTAAACATTCCTGGGATGGGAAACAATTTCAACAATTTCAAGCATCAATGCTATTTACTATTAACATGCAAGCAAACAAGTTCACGAAGCTATAATCCTCATTCATAAAAACACAAATTACACATCTTATAATGTGTTATCAAACATGACTCAACATTAGAACTAAGAGTAGCATTGTAGATTAACCAAATAAAATTTTAAAGTACGTATCGTATGAACTTTATTTCTCGTACTTTTACTTTACAAACATAAGTGTATTTACTAAGATAATAAAACAAGACAATTTTCCCTCTCATTCAGCCATAATCTCGAACGTTTTTGCCAATTTTATGCAATATGAGATAAAAAAGCTCACTCATTTTACGGTTAAGAACACATCTTGAAGTCTTATAAAACTCACATAAATCTTAATGCTAAAAACATTGAAAATGGTCACACAAAATGGCAAACTCAATAACTTGTAAAATAGAAGAGAAGTGAGTACGCTTTGATTCACGTTCATACATGATCATTAAAATGAAATCTGAATTTTATTCTCAATTCCTTCCGGTTCATTTATAATAAAAATAAATAAAAGATGAAAAAAATTCTCTTCTCTTTTTTTGTTCTAGTCCGTAATCTTAGTGTATTATGCAAAATCATTTGCTAGTCTACAAACTCATCATTTAATCTAAGTGACAAACTATGTGATAAGAGAACGATGTAATAATAAGAAAAAAAAGAGAATGTGGTATGATAGTGATAAATATAGAAATGTGAAACTAGACACTAATGACCTAATATCTGTCTAGATTTATTGTCAAGTTCAATTTAAAAATTATGCGAGTAGCTTCAATGTCATGAGATTGAGTGAAAGAAATGAAAAAGTTTGCATACATGTGTTGGCATTTGTGGCGTGAATTAGGCGCATATTTTAGTGTAAATTCGAGAAAATAACGGTTATGAGTGGAAATTGTGTACGATGGTATTAAGCCATATTAAGAGAATCTGCCAGTGCAAGAGAAAGTTCTCAAATTGTTGTAAATATAGACCGATTCCAAACACGAAAAATTACCCAATAAATGATCTAGAACGAGGTTAAAATCTATTAGACATTAAGCTAAAGTAACAACAAAATGCACTTCATAAGAATATATGCTTAGTCATTGGAATTGATAAGCTACAAGCGAAAAAAAAATAGGAGAAAATAATCCACATTGCAGGGATTTCGGTTTGAATTTATTGGACAGTCCTCAATATTGTTGAACCTTAAAAGACTTAGATAATCAAAAAATTGGAAGTAGAACTATAAAAAAATGTGCTTGATTAACTTCGATTAAATAAAATGTGCAAATTGCTTAAAAGCAAAAATTTAAGCTGTTTATTTTGAACTAAAATCATTGCAGTAATTTAGATTTAAAGTCCCGTAAGTTTTGGAATCATTTCAAGAATTGTAGCTTCTAAAATCCCAAAGGTCAATGAACAAAAAATTTCATCTTATAAATAAATAGCAACAGAATCTCCAAAAAAAATATTGTTTATAAAATTCATAAATTAGCCATTAAGCCCTGAGACTAAACTATGAATCGAGAATATGAAATGAAAAAAATTCTAATGTCATGAAGTGAGAAAGGAAGCATGAAAAAAAAAAATTTAATTCCATTGTAACGTGCTACCATGCTTATAATGTGCCTCTAACGATCGACATTTCTCATTTTCATTCAAGAATGTAAAATGTGAGCTGGAAAATATGGAAGAAGAAAAAATTAATAAGACATTGTAATGAGATAGAAAAATTTATTCAGAAAATATTCTTCGGATGTACAAACTTATTCTATATCTTCTTGTTCAATGACTGCTATATTTCAGGATCTGCTGACTGATTTAATATTTTGACAAAAACAATAATAATAAATAGCTAGGATAATGGCGACTGACAGTTCTAATACGTTGGAACTCAGTCCAATACCACGTTCCGCTTCTGCCAATCGTTTTCAAGTTAATTTAGTAAATAAGGAATCAAATGGTGGCGAAGCACATGCGGAGGATGATGATGATCAATTTAATGAAGATACAGAAATAGTTAAACAACGTAGAACATCACGAATTCAGGCCATCAGAAGCAGTTTTCGTGATTCTGATAAAAAGAATGTCGAGAAAAAGCGCAAGGAAAGTGTAACCCGATTCAAGGTCAGCGATGAAAATTCCGACTCGGGTGAAGATGAAAATTTACTCGATGGAAATGAATATGATACGAAATATGGAAGGAGTTTCAGGTATGTATTATATTTAATTTATTTGGGATGCTCTTACACAAGTAAATTTAGCGAATTTCCTTTCTGTAGTTACATGAATGAAGAGGAAAAGTAAATGTAAACAAGTGGAGAATTGCTGTTCAGGTTTAAAGCGTCTGATTCAATTTTATAATTTTTAGGAGATGTAGCTGCATTCAATTTAAGCTGCATATAGATTTTAATTGAATATTAAATTAAGCTTTGGCATTTGGGAGCCAAATATTTTTGTAAGTTTGAAAGATCAATGCCACATTCAGTTTTAGTCAAATCAAGGAAAAAATCTCTTGTTTTTACCCAGAAAATCCAAAAGGAACTACTCCAAACTATCTATGTTTTGGACATTAACAATCAAGTAGTAAGGCTCAATAAATATGAACTTTGCCAATTCGAAACGGGTTTTTAAATTACAGCACTAAAAGCACCCCAATCTTAGTCAAAACGCTTTGCCAAATGTATCATGTTACATTTTTAAAGTTTTATCCTTAATCTCTCCTTTCATTCACAGACATTTCACCAGAGAAGCACTCCCACGTTTAGATAATTACCGCAATATCATGTCTATACAAGCTGGAACTCGACCAACGTTAGAAGAGCTCCATAATGCATCTATAACAAATAAAGTAAGTACAAAAATAGTTCAAAGTATTAATTGTGTAAATAGACAGATTCATATCTGTGCGCAAGTTGTGTAGATGAAATGCATCTTTCTGTTTGTTTTTGTTCCTCTTTTTCACTTCAATCCACTTGAGTGGGATTTCCTTCTATCATGAAGCAATTTCTGAAAATGCTTTTGAACCGTAAAAGTGGGTTTTAAAAAAATTAATAAAAACTTCATGTTAACCATACTTCAATGTCAGCCTGTGCTTATTGTAAGTCTTCAACACAAAAAAGTTTGAATACGAAAAAAAAAATCTTTTTCATTTTACAATTATCCCTTTGGGATATACCTTTTCATACATACGAGTCTTCTGCAAAAAAAGGAAGTAAAACAATGCAATGTAATGCAATGAGAAACCTGAAACAGAAGAGAAAACTAATGAAAAATAAATTGAATTTCCTTTCAATAGAATTATCACGTAAAGGATACATAGTGAAGAACTGGATGTTTTATAGAACAAATAGTAAATATTTACATGCTTGCATTATGCACTAGATTTGCTTCTTTATAAACTATTGGAATCGTGACTTTTTTAAGAATATTTATTGTGTATTGAAATTTTTTTTTTAACTTTAAATCTAAAGATAGAAATCGGATTCATCACCATAAAGTTCTTCAAAACTTTATCTATGATATTTACTAAAATAAACTTTAATTCCAATTTTTCAACTGCACTTTTGGTTTCAATGTATTCTTCTCGGTAAACTTTTAAGACTTGAAGAAGTCATAAAGCAAAAAATTGAAAAACTTCTTCCCGTTTCGAAATATCTTGTTAAAAGTTTTATTCGGTTGCATACAATAACTTCATTATCTAAGTGAAATATTAAAATTTTCTAATGAATATATATCAATTTTGGCACAAAACCAACAAAGTAAACTATATTAAATTTTTAAATAAAGCATTAAGTCTCGATTAAGTCAAACAATTGTCAGAGGTGAGAGGTTTCAAATTTATTTTGGGTATTCCTCGAAATTCAGTAAAACAGTTTAGTTGATTGATCTATTTTCGAATTGATTCTTTCAATATTTTTCAATGAAATTATTTATAAATTATGCAAATCAAATTTAATAGAATTGTTTAATTTAATCTAATATTGTCAATAAAACATAATTATTATATAGATGTCAATACCAAAGCTCCCGCAGATTATAATCTTTAAATAATCCCATCCAAAGATTGTAATCATAATCTTCAATAATCTTCGTTTGAAAGATTAGAATCTTTTCGTTTCTGAAGATTTTAATCCTTGATAATCTTCATTCAAAGATTATAATCTTCGATAATCTTTTATACAAAGATTATATTCTTCGTTTTTAAAAGATTATAAAGGCCAATACTCAATCATAGAATGCTGCTAAATGTGCACAGCTCAAGAATCTCTTTTAAAAATTTGATGTGCAATTTCAATCCATTCATGAATTTCCAATGAATGCAACAATTGCAAAAAGAATTGGTAGCATTTCCCTATTAAATTGCCATCTGTGTCAACTCAATTTTGCTAATAGATCTTTTGAGTATTTGGATATTCTTGTATTTTCTGATATTTCATCAGCAAAGATAAAATGTTTATAGGACCGAACGTAAAACATATATGAATTAAAATGAGAGTGATATGAGTCATAAATTCACGAAATGTTGATAAATGTACGAATATTTCCATGTAGACAATAATGTCTCAATGAATACGCATTTATGGCTATAAATTAAATTCATGTCGTTAATTTCCCGGTTATTTATTTTGGGGCTTTAAAGATTGACCTATTCTGTTTACGGTTTGGAATTGAAGAACTTTAAGTGAATTAATACTTAAGAGTTGGAAGGTTAAATGATAAAGATTTGTTCAGTATGGGAGGCTGTCAATGCCTGAATTTGAGCAAAACAAATAATTTGGATCGATAATTTCTTGTGCTTAACACCCAACTGTAAGATGTTAATTCCACAAACGATAATTTTCCACTCAGCACCGGCTTCTTAGCTGTAACAAAAATTTCTACAATACGATAGATTGTGTGACTCATTCAATACCCATGTGCGAAGCTTTAGATATTAATTTAATTTTGTTGTCTCCCGTCAGTCAAATGGCAACGGCGAATGTGTATGTTTATGAACGAGTGATTCGAGTATTTAATTGAGTGACGAATTAGCAAAGTTAGTAACGTAGGTCATGGTTTTTATGCCCCAAAAGGTTAATTGAACATGACACTTCTTCACAGTCACTATTTTTTTCTGCCTTAATTAAGAAATTTTTGCTTCATTAACTGATTCTCACAATACGAATGTATATGAAAAGGCACAAAAAGTATATATTCCCATAAAGTATCTAATTAATTACCACTGAGTGACTTTTTATCATTTCATATTGAGTTTAGTTCTTTTTATTGCAATTACAATCTCCATATGAAGTCAAAACACATGCATATATTAGGTTTGTGTGTAATAAATGAATGAATAAAATAAAATTAGGTCTAGGTTGTAATATTCATTTACAAAATCCGATAACAGCAGCAGATTTTCATTTTATTACCTTATTATGTGTCCAATAGAAATAAATTTTATTATTTAGTTTTGCGAGTATAATTAAATTATCTATTTGTTCCATTCAATCGAGAATATCGATTCATGAATATTGAATGTCAATATCATTCGGATATATGCTGAATATTAGCATATTTGTAGCGAAAATGTAGAGGAAATCCATAAAGTGTTGTACAAAAGTTTGTTTTTGTTATGTTTCTGAGCTTATATCTTATGGGAACTGATTAGATATGCTTTAAAGGTTATTAAATAATCAGGTCCATTAGAAATTGAATTTACTTGACCTACAGAACGATTATGTAATTGGAATTGAATTGTATTTAAAGATTCACAAAAATAAATTAAAGTCACTTACTCTTTAAAGCATTCAAATGCTGTAAATAAAAGCTTGTGATAATTTCCAAAAACATTGCTAATTATTTCGCCATTAACTGAACTCTTTTCAGAAACTGAACATAAAAGTTTATTTTACATGCTGAATTACGAATTAATCTATTCGAATTGTATTCATTTTTATTATCACCATAAAAATGTCTATGGTCAGTATCAACAATTGAACAATGAAAATAATTTTTTGAATTGAATAAAATTTGCATAGACAACAATATTGATGCAGAGTATATTTACTCATATTGAATGATAAAATTAATCATTTTTGTCAGTGTTGTTATCTGATTGATATTCAGCATACAATTTATTCATGGGTAGCACGAAAAGTACATGCTATACGTCAAACCGCGCTATGTGGCGAAAATTTGGAATGACATTTCCTACAATAAAACTAGGTTTGAAATTCCAACTGCTTTTAACTGCGATTTGATTAAACATCCCTCAAGCATTTGACTAATTAAATTAAATTTCTCATAAATTATTTTCACATTTATGACCAATCAATTTAACCAATAAATAAAATGTTGTAACTTATTCCAATTATGTTTTGGATTGTCTGAATAACATACTTCCGAAAAGTATTATTTACTGTGTACGAATAACTCAAACATTTTTGTCGACATGATATGTTCCGTCAAATGTCAAGTTGATAAATTATTTTCTCATAAAAGATATGAATTTTTCGGATAACAATTTATAGTGCGCCAGCAGACAGTAAACTTAACATGTTTTATAAATCAGTCATACAAAGCAAATTTCCTTTATATCCAAAAATCCCATAAACACTTCTAGTCTACATCTTTATCTTGAATCTTTTGGCACATCTAAATTACGTCAGATCTAACATCACGAGGAAGAAACCCATTCAGTTAAAGTTATTTATAACTCACGTTGCAGACATTTCAAGAATAATCTTGTGTATCATAAATTAAATAGAAACTTTCAATGTCAAGATTACAAAATCAAAATACACCATGACCAATTGATATTCCACATGAATAGAGTTTAATTTTTTTTTCTAATTCATGATTTTTAAAGTCAAAATGTCTCCATGTACTGACTTAATTCATACATCTTTGAATTGCTGTCTTTATGACAGTTCAAAAATAAAAAAAATTTATCTAAATATTTGAAATACATACACGATATGAAAATTCATGCACTACCGTATTCAGATATTTTCTTGACGAATTGCTCGCTTTTATGAAAAAAACTTTGGATATGACAGCATTCCTTGGATTTTCTCACAATATATTACAATTTCCTTGACAAATGTGTGCCAGAAATTGGTTTTATGTACTTTAAGAATTTGTAAACATGTTTGATGCTTTGACAATAAACTATATATGCAAGGCATGGGGCGTTGTAAGAGAAATTTACTTCTAAATTTAAATACCTTAATTGAGCTTATTGAAGTTTACACAAGACATTTATTTATGATGTCCAAATAAAAACTTGAAAGAGTCTTTAACCGAAAGAAACTTTTCCAACAACTTTTTACAATCTGAATTTGAACGTTTTTCAGTTATATGCTCCTGTTCCGAAACTTTTGGGAGTTGCTTTAATTTTAACATAATACTGGAATTGCACAATTCAGTTAATCGATCTAAAATCCGGTACCAAGCCGGTGTGAGTCTGGCATGGTGCAGGATTTAAATCAAAGCCAGTCTTTCCGGATGGCTTTCTACTGAATTTTTATTCGATTAACCGACTAGTGCTATTCGGGATTAAAATTTCAAAGTTTGCACCCGACGAGTTGATGCGACTTTCGTCAGAGCAACTGCATGATACTCTAAAGACATTATTTGTCAAAGACCTTAATTAGCTGAGTATGCTCACGAGTTAACTCACTCAGTACATTTAAGTGAGCATACTCATTGAGAGCATGCTATTTGTCTGTTAGGGAATGTTTCATGATATTACTTACCAGTAATACTATTAATAGATTTTCTTGTAAAACCTATTGTCTGCTTCACGACACTTAAAAAAATTAATTATGTTTTCTAAGTAATTTGAATCAATACAACCCTTAAGGTAGAAATATTGTTTAGAAGTATATTACGTTGACTTCAATGATTTCCATTATGTGACTTTCAATAACGTTCAATAGGGGTCGTTCACTTATGATGTCCGAATTTAACGGTCATTTTTCATAAAAGAACAATGGATTTCCAGGAATTTTTTTATTGTTCTTTTCTTGCTGACCCACGCCCCCCCCCCCCCCCCTCCTGGACGTCACAAGTGAACGGCCCCATAGACTCATATTTCAAGTGTAAACTACAGATAAAATTAATAAACAAACTTGTTAACTACATTCTACTTAAATGCACATAACATTTGTTTGTTTCAATAATTGTGTACAACAGAATGTAATCATGTCTTGCAGCATAGTATCTTAAAATGGAGATAATGCATTGACGTGTGGCATTCAGACAAGCTGTCATAAAAAGTATTGAGGCACACTCTTATTTTGTTTTTATCTAACAAATTTGAGATTCAGCACTTACTTCTTCTAATGTATTTGTCTGGTGAACCTGAAATAAGATGATGTTTGAAACAGACATGAATGAAAATCAATAATCAAAGAATATTGAAGCAAGTGCTTATGAGGTACATCTATTTTTATCATGTAAGCCTTTTTGTTGATTCTGAGGTATTTTTAGGGTTGATAACTGCAGGTTCCTTTACTTAGGAAGCTTTTACTTTACATGAAAAAGCTAAAGCTCTTTTAAGCAGACAGTCAGGAGGTTTTGTTAAACGTTTAACACCAGCCAACTTCCATCTTCTTTAAGCTACTCAAATAGGTTCCTTTTGTCAGAGTACTTTCATCAAAATCTTGATGAAAACAAACCTTGAACTGTATAAAACACATTTAAGCGATGAATCACCAAAAGAAGAACTTCAAAGCGCTAAAAATGTATTTGAACCTTTGACATGCCGTAATTTTAATAGAGTATTAAAAAAATTCATTAATTAAATCCAAAGATCAAATGTATTGTTTTAATTAAGCCGTGTAATTTAATTCAATATAAATAATCTACTCAAACATCTGTGGACAACCTTAATGATTCATATTCCTAAGCAATTCATCAATTATGCATGAGCGCGTTAAAAAAAATATTCGTCATCCTTTTTATTTGAAAATTATTCAATGCTTAAAATTAATGAAGTATAAAGAGGAGCATTAACGATGAGGATGGAAGAAAAAAATGCTTCAAGCTTTGATGGAAGGAAAATCATGACCAAAAAATTTCTACGGCCTTTTACTCTTTCAATTATCCCCAATTCCTTTCGTCGTTTCGCTTTTATGAATGTTCACTTGCTGTGTGAATTTTTGCCTTTAATCTTATTAAACCTTGCATTTATTTTTCAATATTAATGAAATAAAATTATTTTTCTTTTAGGCACAGACAATGCCTTCAAATATGGACCCTGAAGGCTTGACAGAAGGCCTTGTAAAGTTTGGCTGGATCAAAGGAGTTTTGATGAGATGTTTACTAAACATTTGGGGTGTTATGCTGTTTTTGCGTCTGAGTTGGGTTGTTGGGCAAGCTGGTAAGTTATGGAATGTTTTTTAATGAAGAAGAAGTTATGACTTAGATATAACATTTCCATAAATTTATATCCTTTCACAGGCATTTGGCAAGGCTTATTATTAATTCTAATTACAACATGTGTCACAACAATTACTGCATTATCTATGAGTGCCATTAGCACAAATGGTATTATTAAAGGCGGTGGAACTTACTTCATGATAAGTCGCTCTCTAGGACCAGAATTTGGTGGTTCAATTGGTTTAATTTTCTCTCTCGCAAATGCAGTTGCCGTTGCTATGTACATTGTGGGATTTTGTGAATCACTGCTTTCATTATTATGGAATTCATTCGGATTTACAATTATTGATGGTGCTGTGCAAGATACCAGAATCATTGGAAGTATTACAGTGCTGTTATTATTGATTATTGTAGTCATCGGAATGGAATGGGAGGCAAAGGTTTGAAAAATATTTTATTTGATCAGACATGAAAGGAGCTCATTTTCAAGGATGCTGAAAGCATTTTTGAATAGTAAATGTTGGTTTCCTTTCAATTTGTCGATACCTTCTCAATATTCAAGAAGTTATGACTTCAATATTAATGATTTCAACTTTAGTTTTGAGGTTAGAATCCTGAATTTTTAGGTTAGATCATGATTTTTGAGATTAACCTATAACATTATGAGATTAGATTGTTGAGTTTTAAGGTTTGGTTCTATACGTCGTGGTTAGATATAAAATATAAATTTTGAGGTTTTATCAGGTTTATTTTTGAAATCAAATGCTCCTCTATAATCCATTAATGACTGATTCAATAACTTACTTCCTCTCTTTTTAACCAATTTTGAATAGGCACAAATTGTATTGCTTTTCATTCTTTTGGCTGCTATTTGTGATTTCATCTTCGGCTCTCTTTGGGGTCCGAAAAGTGATGAAGATAGAGCAAAGGGATTTTTAGGCTATAACAGTGAGTTTCAATACAAATTTTCCATTCGAATACTCAACATATATATGAAATAAATTTCATTTCAGTGACAATTCTCCAAACAAACATCCTTCCGGATTATCGACTCGACAAGTCAACGAATAAAACGCACGACTTCTTTTCAGTATTTTCAATCTTTTTTCCTGCAGCAACTGGAATATTAGCTGGGGCAAATATCAGTGGTGATTTGAGAGATCCACAAAAAGTAATGAGATTTTTTTCTTCTTGAAAATATTAAATCTAATTTTCTGCTCATATTATTTTTCCCCTTCAAGGCTATTCCAAAAGGTACGTTGCTTGCAATTTTTCTGACAACGCTCTCATACCTTGGGATGGCGGTCATGACTGGAAGCTGTGTCGTACGTGATGCAACGGGAAACCTCACAGAATACGTTCAAGGAACATTCCTCGATTGTACTGACCGAAAATGTGAATACGGATTACAAAATTCATTCCAGGTCATTGAACTTGTGTCATTGTTTGGGCCATTGATATATGCTGGATGTTTTGCGGCAACATTAAGTTCTGCACTTGCATCTCTAGTTTCTGCACCGAAAGTCTTTCAAGCACTTTGCAAGGACGAACTTTACCCGAAAATTAAATGGTTTGCAAAAGGATTTGGAAAAAATAATGAGCCAGTACGCGGTTATGTTTTGACATTCATTATTGCAATCGGGTAATGCTTACAATTTGAATTTATGGAAACTGTAGCAATATTTAAACTGAATATTTTCATTCCTATCTAGATTCATTTTAGTCGGTGAACTGAACGCAATTGCGCCATTAATCTCAAATTTCTTCCTCGCAGCATATACGCTCATTAACTTCAGCACATTTCATGCTAGCTTGTGAGTCATATTAAGTTACTATTTTTCATTTTTATCATATTTCAACCTTGGGTTTTAAAGCTTGTAAGTTTGTAGCTTTTTAATGGTGACAAAAAATTTAAAATTTTGGGAGGTTTTCATAAATGACGTTGATATTTTTTTCTTTTTTTTTGAAGTCCAAGAGAGGGGGTTAACCCCTCGTTTTTTATCATAAGTATACAATTCCTTACATCAAATTAAAGTATTTAAATCGTTATCTCACATAAGCAGAAAAGTTCAATAATCTTTACATGCCACAAATAAACGCAGTAATTTAATGCCATATATTATTTCCCTCATGTTTACTTTAGAGCAAAGCCAATAGGATGGAGACCAAAATTCAAATATTATAATATGTGGTTGAGTCTTGTCGGTGCCATCCTATGCGTAGCCGTAATGTTTTTGATATCATGGATAACAGCTCTTCTTACATTTGCGGTGGTTCTGACACTTTATCTCATTGTCGCATATCGTAAACCAGATGTAAACTGGGGAAGCTCAACACAAGCACAAACATACAAAAATGCTCTGATGAGTGTACAACAATTGAATTATGTGGAGGAGCATGTCAAAAATTATCGTCCGCAAATATTAGTGCTGTCAGGTTCACCCAACACCCGTCCACAACTTGTCACGTTTGGATATTTACTTACGAAAAAGTTGTCACTTCTCGTACTTGGACATATCATGAAAACACAAATCTCACAAAAGTACCGAAACTATTTACTGAAAAAATCCAATGATTTCTTTAAGCGCCATAAAGTGAAAGGTTTCTATTCCATTGTTGACGATAATGATTTTGAAACGGGCAGTCGTGCATTAATGCAAGCTTCAGGCCTTGGCAAGCTTAAGCCAAATATCTTACTTATGGGATATAAGCAAGATTGGCAGACATGTGACAGTGCTGAATTGGATCGTTATTTTAATGTTGTGCATAAGGCATTTGATATGTATTTGGCTGTAGCAATTTTGAGAGTTCCCAACGGACTTGACTGTTCAAACTTCTTAGGCGATGAAGCACCCCGACACATCTTGGAAGCGCCAAAAACATTAATATCAAATGATAGCTCGGCTGACCTTACCGCAGTACGAGAGAAAAATAATTCAATTCACGGCAGTTGCGATTCGTTGAGTCGAAACATCTCACAAGGTAAGAAATGCTTTCCTCACTGAAAATGGATGTTAAGAATGTTAAGCATGTTGAAAATAATTTCCTTTAAATTCTTTCCTACATTCGTGATAAGCTAAAGCAAAAAAAAAATAAGAAATGAAATGAAAACAAGAAATAACTGCTGCATAAATGAATGATGAAGAATGATGTACGTTATGCTGAAATATATATTAAATTCATTTCACATACACAAACTGTAAAAGACATTTACGAGCAAGTTCGTCCTACACGTTTTGACTTTTTTACTCACTTTTCCTCAGGGATTGCCAATAGAGCTCTTTTGGAACTTGTATGAGTTAGGGTAACTTTTCACGTGATTTCAGTGTTTGATTTATTTTTGTTGAGACTTCACAAACAGCTGAAGGGGTTTCACAACCAAATATCTTCCTGAAATTCTTTACAATAATAGAATTGTCCACATTCCATAACATAAGATTAGCTAAATTGGACTGCACAACTAAATCATTTCCCACTCCTCATCCCTGTGTTATGTCCTCTGCGTCACTCTTTTGTTTTCCTTTGTTCTTTTAATAATAAGAATTTTTATGCTATTTTTATAGAAGTAATAGACATAAAGTAAATAATACTGAATATTTAGAACCTTATGTGGGAAGATACATGCAGCCCATAAATAAAGCAATGATGTAAAAATTTCTTCAAAAAAAACGCTTTCGTCCCACTTTCTCGTCGATAGGATCTTTTAACAAAGCTAGCTAATTACTTAAAAAGTGTCTACCATAAGCTTCCGGTTCACGAACACTTGAAAATTTCTATTTTCCGGTGTTGCTGCACGTGCGGACTTGGGGCTTCATAAATTTATTAATTGAATTCACTCTTACTATTTCTTATTAAAGTTTAATTTGATAAGAGTCAAAAGGATAGATTGGATATCGCACGTGGACTATGGAATGTTGATATTATAGATTTTGTAAAAAGATATTAACTTTTTGGGTTCAATCTGTGCTTTATCGATTCAATGATGTTGAAACTTATTAATTTGATTTAGTTTCATACATAATTCAAAAGTTTATATTTTTCATTTTGAATTAATTAAAGTTGTTTTTTGGTATCATTTAATTATGACGTTTAGCAATAGATTTTGGATGAAATGTGAATCATCCCAGGGGCGTAGCCAGAAAATTTTTAAGGGGGGGCCAATTTTTGAAAATTAAAAAACCTTTATTTTGTATCCTTAAATCTATATTCATTCTTCATCGGCCTGTTTCACTAAAGTAGATTATCCTCGATTTCGGATTATCCACTTCAGTTTTTTGTAAATATCTTAAACTTTATGGGAGGTGTGGTATTTCTAATTTTGGATTATAATAGAGTGAAGTATGTCTGAAATTTCTGTATACTTTAAACTTTTGCTTTTCGTTAAGATTTATCAATTGTTCAATTTTCTAGCCAAATCTAGTAGATTAACTTCGATTTTTGCTATAATTCTCAAACTAATGAAGATATAAAAATTTTAGGTATATGTTAATTTAAGTAGCAAAGGACTCTAACTTGATCACACATTAGATCTCTTAATAACCTTAAGCGTCTGGAGATATTTCTAAAAAACTGAAGTGGAAAATCCGAAATCTAGGATAATCCACTTTAGTGAAACAGGCCGAATAAGTTTAAATATTTAATTCATTATTCATACATTAAATTTAATTTTTCGTGCCGATTTTGACATTTCTTTCATCACTTCCTCTACATTAACTGGTTCTTCTCTATAAATACTTAATAAAACAATTATCAGATTTTGAGGGGGGGGGGGGCCGGGCCCCCTATGGCCCCCCCTGGCTACGCCCCTGAATCATCCTTTGGTCAATGTCATTTAAGCTCAACTAGAAACCCTCAAATACCAAATGCCGTTGCTAAATGGAGTGCACTAAGGTTTTCCATAATTTGATTAGCAAATGCCTATTAAAAGTACATGAATAGCGGTGATAATTTTACAATACTTAAAAAGCGCTTGAACACTTAATTAATACCAAGCAGATTTCAGCATACTTTTAATCCTCGTATTACCGTAACATAAAAGCTCTTTAACCTGAGTCTTAAGGTTTGATCGGTTTGCATTAATAAAAATAAAGTTTAAAAGGATAAAAGGCACAAAGAAAGGAAACAATCTTATGCCTTTTTCACGTTTCCTTTTAACTTGCTTTGTTCATGAGTTCTTTTGTAGAAAGTTCATATATAAAACAGTTTAGGGCTACAAATCTTTAAAGAATTAAAGTCGTATGACTCAAAATTCTAAATTTACATTTAACCTACATCAAAAGTCAGGATGAATTTGCTTGAATTAAATTCTTAAATGACAACAGTTTGTTTTGAATCTGTAACAATTTTCCATATTCTTCTTCTTCGCACATAACAGAAATGAATTTAAATCTATTCACATGCGAATCTATGAAGTTACTTTATTTCACAATTTATATCCTTTTATTTGTATTTGCACACACACACACAATATAATGTCAATTTGCATATTCAGATGAGAAGAATAATGTACATAAGAAGCCTGAAATGAAATGTAAGGGTAAGTACTATAACTCTCTGTATTTTCTCTATCATTTCACACGTTTTATTGTGTCTCTATATTTTCTATTCCAATATTCATGGCTTTTGAGATGCAGAGTTGCTACTAAATTAATAAAATTGAATGAAAATTTTTTAAATTTATAGATTTAATTTCTTGATATACGCAAATGCTATTATAGCTTTTTATTTGTCAATTCTAAGACGTAAACGTAAGATATATTAGTTATGTGCTGTACCAATTGATCTTAAGAACCTTAGTTAAGATAGAAAATATTAAGAACTCCTTCCCGAATTGCACAAGTCGGTTAATCGAATAGAAATCCGGCACCAAGCCAGTGTGACTTTGGCATGGTGCTGGATTTAAATCGAAGCCTTCAACTAACCGACATGTGCTATTCGGGATTTGAACTTTTGACAACCTTTGACATAACGTTTGGTAAAAACGTGATTTTAGTAAGATGCGGTGAAAAGGTTCTATAAATTAGAAAACAGACTGTAATAAGAAAATTTTTGCACCTGGAAAAATCAATCAGACTTCAATCATATTATTCATAAAGAAGTAAGCATCTCGGTTCTTCCTAGAAAAACCTCCTTATATTCATTATTTAGATAGCATCTCTGCGCCCAATTGTATATGAGCTGAAAATGAATAAAGTGATGGAACGAAAAGAAGAAAATTATATCATTAATATTCTTCTTGAGCCTTATTCATCTCCAAAGCATATAATAACATTTGCAATACATACCGAAAGAAATGAGAGCACATAGCATGTTCAGTATGCTTGTTAAAAATTAAAAAGAAAAATATTTTTTATATTAAAAATAAGAAGCACTAAAAAATAATAGAATCGCTACAATACTATATATTGTACGGTCCAAAAATAGCTTGTAAAGATATCACAACTAATTGAAGTTTCATAATATTTTTTATGGTAGCAAGCAGCACCAGCGATCTCACTCATAATAACGTTTCTGATGCCCCAGATCCGGTCGATATTAAACGAAAACTCTTAAATGTAAGTCATATTTTCAATTAGCTTCTTCTTGTTCTTACATAAGAGTGCGATGAAGGGAAAATTTTTTCAGAAATGAAAGCTTCAATACTAATTACATCAATTTGTTGTGTTGTTTGTCTCATTGTATGAAAAATTAGTCAACACCGAGCAAATCAACAACGAAGAAAATTGATAATGATCCATCATTATTGTACCGTGGACCAGGTGGCTCAGAATTACCCAAGGAAATCATAGACGAGCTAACACGATTTACAACAAAGCAACGAAAGGATGCTGTTATCGATGTCTGGTGGCTTTATGATGATGGCGGTTTAACATTGCTTCTTCCTTACATAATCAGCACGAGGAGAAATTGGAACACATGCCGCCTACGTGTGTTTGCATTGGCAAACAGAAACTCTGAACTTGAGTTCGAGCAAAGGTCAATGGCTAGTTTACTATCGAAATTCCGTATCGATTATTCAGATCTTATTTTATTGCCTGATATTAGCAAGAAGCCAGATGAATCAACTGTGGCATTTTTCGACGATTTAATTAAAAGTTTTGTTTCACCGAACGACATTAGCGACGATTGTAAGTATCGTTACTCATTCCTCTTTATCTTCCTTATAGCCTTCCTTTTTTTCTCCTTTTCCTTTCTTCCATCCATCTCAACTTAATTTCCTCTTAACTTTTTCAATTGACAATGTAATAAAGTCTGTTTTGAATGATGATTTTGTACATTCCTGCTGATTGAATTTGTGACGGGATGTCTGATATCTTGAAACTGATGATTGAACTTAAGATCTAAGCAGGAGTCCTTGTTTTCATACTCAAGAGTATTAGTCAGGATGACACAATACTTTCAGTCTTTACTTACTTCCGCAGTGCAGATTAATTTTGATCTACAGCCTGTACCTTGCTAGTTCTTGTCAATTTTCAATTTATGTTCAATGTCTAACGGCATCTCAGAAACTGTCCTGAGGTCTTTATGTTTTTTTTCAAAAAATTTAAGAACTCAAACTTGAGTTGAAATTGGTTCCAAAACTACGTACATAAAATGATTCCAATCTATTTCTGCTGTTCCTTCTTTTTAAGTTCTTCTTCAACTTTTATTTTATTATTTTCTTTACAGCCATGATAACAGAATCAGAATTGATTGCCGTGCAAGATAAAACAAATCGACACTTGAGGCTGCGCGAATATCTTCTCGAGCATTCAGTAAAATCAGATTTGGTAAGATCAAAATTTGCATTAATCTTAATTTTGCAAATTTCTATTTTTGGGCAACCGATAATCATTAATTTTATTATCCTCATTAATTTATTTTTGTAGGTCGTGATGACCTTACCAATGCCTAGGAAGAATATTATAAAAGCTGCACATTATATGGCATGGCTTGAGGCGCTGAGTAAGGATCTACCACCATTTTTATTCGTGCGTGGCAATCAACAATCGGTCTTAACATTCTATTCTTAATTGTTATACAACTTACACATCACATTTTACCTTATTAATGCAAAGCATACACAGAGAGAAAAATAACCTTAGGTGCCCATTAATTAAGTTTAAAAGCGCATGCATAATTTAATTTATTTTGAGAAAAAAAATATATGATGAAAATGACAAAATTCCAAGCTAATAAAAATAGCTTAAAAGCTTTGATATTAAAGGAACTTTTTTTATGAAAAGAATATAAAGCTAAAAAATTCCATTTAGCATTAATTAATTTTTTTAATTCTCACAGTCCTTCGTGGAAATAATATCTGAAAGTTCAGAGAAATTTTAGCGTGCTTTTTTTCATTTTTAAATTTGAGTTTTAAAGCTTTGCTTTTGTAACAATGTGAAATTTTGGGAAAGGAAGAAATAATTGTTTATTAGTATTGAAAGGTCAAAAAAGCCATGACTGGAAAGTATTTGAAAAATCAACCCCCCCCCAAACTCTCTTCTCATTTGAAAATTTCTGGCAACAATCATAAATTCATTCCTATCTTCCTGTTCTAAGCTGACATCTTCATAACCTTGATACCAATTAAGTTTAGGCTAATCACAGCAAATGAACTAAAAGCAAAAGATGAATCAAGCAACAATTACTAATGAGAAAAAAGCGCTAAAATGTTAAAGAAATCTCATTTCTAATTTAACAAGATTTTAATAAGAAAAAAAAGTCATGAAGCTTTGTCTAATAATAAAGTAGATCGAAGATTCATATACTTTTATATTATTAATTAATTTCTTTAATAATAGAACACTTTTTAATTAGAAATTCCTCCATTTTTATTAATAGATCACATAAGAGAATTAAAATAAAAATTAGTATTCATTTAGACAAATTAAAGTAAAATAGTAGTAAATTGTAATTGATGATCAAGTAATTAAAGATTATTTATTATATAAACTACGCAAAATATTGATTTTTTAGTATATTATTCCAGCAAATTTGCATAGTCTCATACGTGATGTAATTGGCTGCTTATTCACTTTTAGATTAATTTTAGGACTTAAATAAATTCAAAATTGATTAAGTTTCTTGGATTTGTCTACAACCAATGCTGCGTTCACTCTATGAGACTATGCAAAGTTTATTGCAAAAATCTGTACTAAATTAGGGGCCGTTCACTTATGACATCCGACATTTAGGGGGGAGGGGGGGTCTAGGATTTTGTGACAGTTCAAACAATGGAAATTTTTTTTCTATTGAATTTTTGTGACAGAGGGGGGGGGGGGGGGGAGGGTCTAAAAATCAGGTTTTTTGATGGACGTCATAAATGAACGACCCCTTAGACAATAGTTTAACATTTAACACCATAAGAGTTCTCATCAATATGTTAATTGTAAGTTTAGGTACATTAAATACAAAATAAAGATGGAAAAAATCTAATTTGTCAAGTTTATTAAGCACAATAAATTCTTCCATCATTAGCAATGTAGCAAGTGATTTTAATAATTATTGGAACGAATAATTTTAATCTAATTTCATGCCAGATAATTTTTCAGTGTTTCTGATGTGGGCTTTGACTCAGAGGATTGTCATCTTTTGTTTTGTTCCTTTAAAAGTTGCCAATTCTACTACAAAATGCTCAAAAGGTAATTTTTTTTATAGTTTCCCTTTTTGGGGATTTTGGAATTACGCTAGAAATTTCTCAAAAAATTATACTCGTTTCCCAGTACGGAACATGTTTATGGAGTCTGACATCAAATCTCAATAAACTTTACTTTTAATAATCTAAAAATACAAAATTTCTAAATCAAGATGTCAAAAGCACAACAACTGAACATATTTATGTGATAATGAGAAATAAATCACTTCGCGCGCAAAAATGTTATCACAGCATTATTGGCAACTTGCTCAAATGCTCCAGATTGCTGAACGTTAGAATAATTTGAATTCAATTATCATTTAAATGAGCCATTCCTTACATACATTCACATCACACAGCGAGCAACAGTTCGCTTTAAATTCAGAAGAAAATGTCTTTAAGGAAAAAATAAAATCGATTTTCTTATAATCTCACGAATGAGTGAATTCAATCAGCGTTTTATCGAACATCAGATGTCGAATATTTGGGAGATGTTTGGATGTTGAGTAATGATCACGAGACAGACTTAGGATTCATCTTAAATGGTACCCATTTAAAAAACTAATGATGCCTTTAAAATCGACAGCACTTAATTAGCTTTCAATCAGCCAAAAACCTTAAAAAAAGTCAGAACACGCTTTTTGAATAACAGTTCAATCGGCTTCGCCCAAAATAAATTTCCACAAACTTAAATTTTTGGTACAAAAATTAAGCTGATAAAATTGATCAATTTAACCATAACGCAACATCCAACCAACCCATCGTGATCTCATTCAACAATTAAATTTTTGGCATTTCTATATCAAATCTTGCGAGTACTTAAAATTGTGTAACTTGAGAGAATTTTTCTCAGAAAATCAGTTCATTTTGCTTTATCTCATTTCTGTCGTTCAATCTTTTGTTATTGCTGTATGAAATCAAATTGACAGAAAATAAAAGAAAAGTTCTTCTTCTCTGTTGTGACATGGATGAATGTTTTGAGCTGCTTTGTTGATGTAGGTGAGCAGCTCATTTTAGACAAGAAAGGCTGATTAAATGTAGCAACAGGCAGTTTCGATAACAAGATATCTTCATCTCATTCCGGATATTTTAAAAAGTTTTGCTAAAGGATTATAAAATCAAACTTACGGAAGCAATTCTCAAAATATCGCAATGATGTGTTACTAATTGAATTTCATCTACACGAGTTGCTTTCAATGTTGTTTTTAAAACAAAAATAAAAGTTTCAACACAAAATAATCCTACACTGATGAAAATTTGGATTTTTTTAAGGTAATCAATTATTGGAATTGCTGAGAGAATTCTGAGTTTTTCGAGGAAAATTCAAGGTTATAGAAAGAGTGTCTGCTAGCGAGTAAAGCATCCCATATGAATGTTGCCAATTCATCATAATTTATAAACTAATGAAATACATATTAGAGCTAATTATCCTTAAAATGTTCATCATAATTCATTAATTTAATACATTTCCAGTGAAATCACTTCCGATTACACATTTTACGGTTTATTAGCTTTTCTTCTCAGATACTCAATAGTAAATTTACTTTATGGAAACTTCCCCGATTTAAATTTTACCGAGAGCTCATCGAGTTATTGAATACTCCATTATTTAATTAAATAAATGAAAATAAAATTCTGGGATTCTGAAATAATTATTAAGAAATGATTTCCTGGGGAATTTATTTCTATTTAAAGTCATTAATTTTAAATTCTTCAAATGATTGTTTGAAGTTGATTTACAGTTCGAGTGTGATTAAATTTGGAAAAATGTTCAGTAGATGATGAAATCTGCGGCATTGCTCAAAAATCATGAAAAGGTAAGAATTTGATAATCCTGGTTTTCAAAAGGTTTTCTTTGAAAAGATTAATGTCATGGTCATTGCTTGCAACACCTTCCGATTTACGAAACATTTTTTGGAATAATTCGTCAAAGTTGACAGTTAAAAGGAAATCCATAAACTGCCAAAAACACAAACAAATGGAAAAATTAAAGTCGTGTAAAACATTTGTAGCATTAATGCAGTCCAGATAAAACTATGTACCAGTTACCGAATGTATATTAGGCTGATCCATTATTCATGCTTAGTCTGTGAATTTTATGTTTTCTTACAAACCAACTTATAAATATTTATAAACCAGCTCACTCCATTTTAATTTTAATTGTATACTTATAGAAGAGTTTATCCGTCCACTTCTGTGTTCTGCATTGTTCCAGAAAATTGAAAATAAATAAAATGTAAGAACACGTGCACAAAACAAAAAACAGAAAACTTTATTTTAATTAAGATGACTTGCAGGAATAAAATTGGTTGTAACTGGAGTGAAAATTGTTTCAGTTTATCCTAGGATCTCAAACTTAATAAGGTGAAAAACGTGTTCTATAAAGTAACTTGAGAAATAAAGTCAATTGAATGAGAAAACAGTTCAGCACTTAACTTTTATGTTTTTGTCATGCACAACCATTGTTTTAGTTAAGTTTATTTAATTTTTTATTCAGGGTTGGAACTTAAAGGCTTTTTAATCTAATGTTATTATTCTAGACTCACTCACTCAAGCACCAATGAACCAATGAATAAATAGGTGAAGCACGAGACTCATTCTGCAACAGTTCATATTACGATAACAAAATTATTTAATTCTATCATAATTTATTTAATGCTGTGAACTTTACATTTAATTATTATTGTTAATCATAATAAGTAATGAGTTGATTATGTTACGGTTTCGAGGGTTAAACTTGTTGTTCAATTTATTTGATACTGTTCTCTTAATTTCTAAAGACACTGTTAAACTATACTCGAATGAATTTCTAATAGAAACTTGAAAGAAAAGAAGTAGAGCTCGTTCTTCTTTGTTTTCATTAAATCTTGTGTATTTCTTTCTATCTTAATACTCTTGTGCTTTAAAAAGTATCTCGTTCCATGTTATGAAAATGTTTCAAACAAAACTCAAAATAAACAGAAAAGGAATATCGCAAAGAATGTCATAAGAAATAAGTTTTGAAGACAATATAATCGATTTTTTAAATTCATACATTGGAGTCGGGGGATGCCAGGAGATGGGGAACTTTAAGTATTTGAATAATCCCCTTTGAGTAGGGTTACCATCTAATTTTCATGAAAATATAGGACATTTGGTAAATTTTTTCGAAAAAAACAGGACATAGAGTAAAACTCGAAATTTAACGGAAATTTTCATGAAAAAAATACAGAACCAAGAACAAAATTTAAAATTTTTTTACAGGACAGTCTTGAAAAATACAGGACTGTCCGTTGAAAAACCACGCAGATGGTCACCCTACCTTTGAGATGACTTTCTAAGCACACCACTTCTCCACTTCTAAAATCCTGGATATGCCCCTAATTCTGAAAAAAATAGAAACAATAAGTTCGGTGTTTAGGATTAGGCAAGATGTGGAAACTCAAGATTAATCCTGAAAAATCCCAAAAATCCTAAAAAATCATTGAACCAATAAACTTAAATCCCGAAATTATTCATCTAAAGCAATAAGAAATTAACAGGTATTTCACATTTTCATGGTTATTGGCTCAGGGTTTTTTAAAGATTTTTATGTTTTTATGGTTTTTTTTCATTAATCCTGAGTTTTTACGTCTTGTGATTAGGTCTAAATCTAATCAATTAGCAACCTTATATTCCATGCTGAATGTCTGCGAAAATTTTAAACTGACAGTTCTGAATTAAATATTGATGTCTGATAGTTTTGATAAAATTTTGAAACAGTCATGGTTGCTCACGAACAGGGAAGTAGCCAGAATTTTCAAGGTGGGGGGGGGGGGACAAATTTTTTATATTCACACCGTTTTCACGTGTGAATCTATTGGTTTTGTTCAGATTGAAAAATCAGTTTTATAGGTTATAAAAGGTCACAGAAGAAAAGTTTGTGCCTGAAATTTTACATCATTTTCATTGCTGAGAAAATCGCAAAATACGCTTTCTGTAAGCAAACAAGCAAAGCAAGCAAGCAAGCAAGTTAATCAGCAAGAAATCTCAATAACGAGACATTGTAGAGACTTCTAGTTTTTTACATTTGATCCGTGCTGCTCTATAGAAGAGCTGTATTGTTTTTGGGCAAGGTAG